GTATTTTTTAGTAGAGACGGGTTTTCACCGTGTTAACCAGGATGGTCTGGATCTCCTGACCTCGTGATCCGCCCGTCTCAGCCTCCCAAAGTGCTGGGATTACAGGCTTGAGCCACCGCGCCCGGCCGAAGTCCAATGATTTTTCATGTGTTTTCAAGTAAGTTTAAGAAATAAATACTGGCAGATAATTAAACCAGTCATAAGAACACATTTAAAATAGAATTTAAGCCCAGAATAAAAATTCCTGATTGCAGCCTCTGATGCCGTAACATGGTCTGGTCCTATATACCACTCCAACTTCATCTCTTACCATTCTTTGCCTCGTTCATTATCTCTAGCCACCCTAGTCTTCTTACTGTTCCTCAAACACACCAGAGCAACCGCTATTCCTATCACCTGGAATTCTCTTCCCTCAGATCATTGCATGGTCACTCCTTCTGATATCCAGGTCTCTGATCATACATGCTCTCCTTAGAGAGGTCTTTTCTGATTACCCTATCAAAAACAGCTCGACAAACCTCTCCCCCCACCTCAATTAACATCTTCTACTTTATCTTCTTCAAAGCACTAATCACTATCTGAAATTATTCATTCGTTTTCTTGTTAATTGTCTGGCTCCCCTACTAAAAGGTAAGCACCAAGAGGCCAGAATCTTTGTCTTAATCACCAATGTATCCTTAGTGAACAGTTGTCCGGCATAGAGTATATGTTTGATAAATACTTATGAATAAATAAATGAAGAATGAGATGGGAGGTACTAAGGTAAATCTAAATTTTCCTCCCACTAAACTGATCTAGCAACAAAATAAATTAAAATTATTTGTGCAAAAATCAAGCAGTATAATATAAACTATGAGTTCCTTATATGTCATTTAAAATAAAGCCAGTATTTCCTTTTACTGTGTAGGGCAGTGAAACATTACACAATAAATTATGAAATCATGTAAATCAACAAATCAAGTATAAATACTCAATTGGTAGAAGAAGGAAACTAAGTGAAGAGTGAAAAAACAGTGTTGACATGGCCGTCAAAACTGTTTAACATGTAGAAATGAAGTAGATTCATGGCAGTGAAATTTGGGGACAAATGGGCATGTAACTTCATTATGGTTTGAATTAAGGAGATAGGCTATTTCAAAGCTCAAAGGGTACTTATTGATGGTATTTAGCTTCAGAAGATTTATATGATTCATTTTAAAACATAATGCTCTCTTAAAACAGGCCAGGTCCAGTGACTCATGCCTGTAATCCCAGCACTCTGGGAGACCGAGTGGCAGGATTGCTTGAGGCCAGGAGTTTGAGACCAGCCTGGGCAACGTAGTGAGACCCCATCTTTACAAAAAATTTAAAACACAAATTAGCTGGGTATGGTGGCGCACACCTATAGTCCAAGGTGCTTGGGAGACTGAGGTGGGAGGATCATCTGAGCCCAGGAGTTTGAGGTTACAATGAGCTATGATTGCACCACTACATTCCAGCCTGGGCGACAGAACAAGACCCTGTCTCTCAAACAAACAAGCAAACAAACAAAAAACAGTCATCTCAAATTCAAGTCAAAATAGCAATAACAATAATGAAAGTAACAATAATGCTATGTTTTTACACAATCATTGTTCAGGCTCACAACTCCTATTAATATTTTATTTTATTTTCCTTAAAATTAAAATTACACTATTCAAATTAAAGCAGACATAAAATTAGATTTGGAAGAAAATAACTTTGATGTATTATTTAAACCTTCTAGGATAAAAATACATGCAAATTCTTCTAATCATCCAGAACTAAGAAGACATATGAGGTGTAAAATGGATATTTATTTTTGTTATTCTCAATGGAAGATCAAAGTTATAGTATGGTTCTCAGAAACTATTATAACAGTTTACTTCATGGTCCAAAATTGCCATAGAAATTTTTCCTGGTGAATGGCAGACGGGGCAGCTAATATTTCCATGTTTATTTCTCAAATGTAGAATTCAAAAGAGAAGTGTTGACGAAAAAAAACCTAACACCTGCAATGGGAATACGTTAGAAATGTAGTATTTTTTTTTTTCATGATGTTAATGATTCTAATCTAAATTAATCAAGCTAATTAATGTGTTGCAGTAAGCACTGATGCAAACAGATTTCATTAATAAGTTAATGTAAGTATATGAAAACTCTATCTCTAAATTGATTCCCTTTGAAAAATTTCTGTAAGAACCATAGATTCATCAGAAATGCTCACAGGACAGATCCATATATGTTACAAATGGACAAACTAATAAGTAAATAACATAAAAAATAGTCAAGGGTAGATGTCCTGGCTTCACTACCAAATCATTTAGTAGTGTCAGGCTTGGCTGTGCTCACTGTTACTGTGTTATTGCTCTATACCTTCAAATTATTTAGAAGAGTAGTGACATTCTAACTAGCAAATGTCAAGTCCCGTAGGAGCACTGCTTCTGAACTAAGCTTAAATAAATATTCAATGCTTAATTTTGATTAGGAAATGTTGTTGATATTGTGGTTTTGCTTTGTAATCTGATTTCTACCAAAAGGATTAAAAGAAAGAAAAAAAAAGGTGAAAGTAGAGAATAGGCATGTTTGTGGATAGGGATTATCTTCATTGTGTTGGCAAGCAAGCAAATTTTGCCTTAGAGCTAAACAAATTTTGCTGATACTCAACTGTCAAATTATCTTGAGGTGAAAGATTTATAATAGCAAAGAGATAATTATGTGAGTAAAGATTTGAAAATCTATAGCACATCAGAGCATTTGATGTTGAGTTTTTAACATGTTTCTTCTTTCACCTGTACAGCTATATAAGACAAATCACTCTGTTCACTCTTGATATCCCAGTCTGTATCTGCTTCTGAATCACTGGAGTAAATGTCAAAGAGAGAGGAAGCTCTAGACCACAATTCATCTGTCTGAGTAGTTGCATTACACAGTCTTTTTCCAAACGCTTTCACTTTGGCTTGAATACCTGAAAGAGAATAAGCATAAGTACCTATGAGTTAGACTTTGCTTTTCATATATCTTTAATATACAAAAGATCGATTCAATTGCTTAATCCATTGAAGAGTCAAAACATACCCACACTACGGTGACGGGGCCTTTTCAAAGAAATTTGTGTACTTTTATGCACTGGGCCTTCTTCACAGTGAGTAGGTACTGAAGTGACAGTATTAGATGGATTATCAGCATGGGGTTGGGTTTGCACAACTTCATTTTCACACGTAATCTAAAAATATAAATCGGAGGAGAAACATATTAAAGTTTACCTTATAGGGTTTTATCTTTCAAAAGTTACAAGTAGTAAAAGAGTATAGCTGAAAATTTTCAGTCACATATTAGTAAGGCTGATACTTGAACCTAGGCAAGGTGAATCTATAGTCCAAGCTTTCATGAATTCTGCCATACTGTCTTTTTTCCACTTATAAATCATGAACTCTGGTCAGCTAGAATGTATAAGCTATTTGCTTACAACTAATTATTTTTTTCTTAAATCAACAGCTAGAAGACATAATACTTTTTTTTTTTTTTTGAGACAGAGTTTTGCTCTTGTTGTCCAAGCTGGAGTACAATGGTGCGATCTCAGCTCACTGCAATCTCCGCCTCCCAGGTTCAATTGATTCTCCTGTCTCAGCTTCCCAAGTAGCTGGGAATACAGGCAGGCGCCACCATGCCTGGCTAATTTTTTTGTATTTTTAGTAGAATCACGGTTTCACCATGTTAGTCAGGCTGGTCTCGAACTCCTGACCTCAGGTGATCCACCCGCCTCGGCCTCCCAAAGTGTTAGGATTATGGGCGTGAGGCACCGCGCCCAGCCGAGATAATATTATTAGTATTAATTAATTTGATATCTTAGCAGTCATATTATTCTAGAAAACCTAATCATTTGTTCTTTATACTTTATAGAGGACTCCTTTAATAAGATAAATGACTTTTAATACTTTCCTGAGAAAAATTACATTGTGAAATGGATTTTTTTCTTTTCTTTTC